TAACTCTTCAAATTCTATTCACGACCTTTTTCCACTGAAGTTTTCTTACCAATAATTTAAGCAACATATGAAAATGTATCCTTTTGACCTTCTACACGTTCAATGTACTCTTTCTCTAACAAAACATCGATACATTTCTTGATATCGGGAATCTTAGGCTTGAATCGATTCGACAATTGGGCAATTACTTCTTGTACTAAAACGACATGCTTCAACGTTTTACGAGTTTTCATGATACGAACGATAGCGGCCTAGAAAAATAGAAAATGAGTACAATCTCGAAAGTACGCGCAGCACAAATAAAATACGAACCTGCATTAGTAACTTTCTATCTTCTTCAACAGTTTTATGAGTTTCTTCCACTTCGACTTTTTGTTCAGATTTAACGGGGACATTCAATTGAATACGAACTTTCTTGCTATTTGTTGCAAGGACAAATAAACATCATTATGTGTAAGGTGCAAATTTAGCTTCAAGAAATAACTATCAAGAACAAACCTCTTAAAGTCTATATTCAGATCATAACGTGATCCTTGTTCTCCAATGGTTTCACCATTGATAATATTGAGAACTTTGGCTTTAACTAAAGTACTCAAAGAACCCGTTAAAACATCCGGGCTCAGATCTGTACTTTGTTTTAGGTCTTCAAACGTATATGAAGTGTCTTTGTTATATTGTAAGAGTATACCCATTTGGTAGGTAGAAACCTAAAGTTACAATAATTATAAGAAAAAAAAACATGGGAAATACATTATACAAATAATTCTTCGCTCACCTGGAACGTGTAACCCGTTTTTGATGATTTACAGTAGTTTGCTTTCAGTTCGCCCTTTGATAGATGGAATAACCAATTTAACTTGCGTCCAGAATGCTTGGTTTGGTAGAACATAATAAATTTTTGGAGTGTTCTTTCAAGCTATTGAAAAATAGTATTAATTACGTGAAGGATTTAGGAAGTATGAAGCAGATATTTACATACCTCTTCGGGTATATTAAAGTTTGTGGTCGAAGGTTGAAGTGGCCAGGACGCGGTTCCCAACACGAGGACAGTAAAGTCGACTAATAATAAAGTGTATTAAATACATTCAATACGTATTTTAAATGAGTATGAATAAATAACATTTGTAAAAATTCCTCGGAACAAGAAATACCTTGTTCGTTAGATTCTGCCGAATTTCGTTCTTTAAATTGATCGTTAAGATCTTTACTTAAGCCCATATCTGTGAACATACGTTGTAATTTTGAAGTGTATTCAAATCCACATGCTTCCTATGGAATTTTTCAGAGACGGAATTTGTCAGTAAATTGATAGAAAGCAATAAGAAATGAATGGAATTTAAGAGATAAACCTTTAGTTTAGAAATCATGCTTGATT